CTCGGCCAGGCCCGGCTGCGCCAGCGTGCTGAGCCCGCAGCGCCCGCCACGCTGGGCGCGCTGCGGCCGCGCCAGGGCCTCCCGCAGGGCCACAGTGTGTGTGTGTGTGTGTGTGTGCGTGTGTGTGCGGGTGTGTGTGTGTGTGTGTGTGTGTGTTTGTGTGTGTGTGTGTGTGTGTGTGTGTGTGTGTGTGTGCGTGCGTGCGTGCGTGCGTGCGTGCGTGCGTGCGTGCGTGCGTGTGTGTGTGTGTGTGTGTGTGTTTGTGTGTGTGTGTGTGTGAGTGTGTGTGTGGATGTGTGTGTGTGTGTCTAAGCGTGTGTGTGTGTGTGTGTGTGTGTGTGTGTGTGTGTGCTCGCGCGCGTGCGTCAAAGTTGGGTTATTGTTGCTGAGCGCGTCCCGCCTGCGATACCGTTCACCGCCGTTTGTGGCCCAGCGGCTCGCTAGGAGGAACACGTGTGCGCGTGCGTGCGTGCGTGCGTGAGTGTACACGCGTATCTGCGTGTGTGGCCTCTGCTCCAAGCACTTGTCTGGACTCAGATAGCCCAGTCGGCCTCGCCGCCGCCGCCAGCAGCGCCGCCGCCAGAAGCGCGATGGCGTGCGCCGTGGAGCAGCTCCGCGCCGCCTTCCCAGACGCCAGCGCCGCGCAGGTGCAGGCCGCACTCCGGCAGTCTGGGGGGGACGCCAACCGGGCCTCGTTGACCTTGCTGGAGAGGGGCCCGCAGGACAGGGCCGCTCATAACCGAAGGGGGAAGAGTGGCTGAAACATGAACTTCCCGACGGTCCGCGCGCAGTTCTTCTAGGTCGGGCATGTCCCTCTACCGGAGGACTATGCAAGAATAGAACAAATAGTCTGGTTTTGATGATTTTTTTGATGATTTTTATTTATTATTCCAAGATCCGCCTGTAGGAGGACATGCCCGACCTAAGCGCAGTTCTTGGATCGGCGCTGGGCCCCCCCCTGGCAGCGCCTCCGGCGCCGCTCCTGGCGCGCTCCGCTCCGCGCGCAAGGGAAGGGGATCCAGCGCGGACCCCGGAAATCCTCGCGGACCTCGGAGAGTACATAATCATGCTGTTAGTCCTCCTTCTGCGTAAGCCGAAGCTGGAGAGGTTGCCCGACCTCCGGAGGGAGCCCGAAGCTTGGTTCCGCCACTTCGACAGGGACGGCAACGGCCTCCAGAAGCACGAGGTGGTCGACGCCCTGACCAAGACGCTGCCTGGCTCGGACCGCTCCACCGTGCGGGACATGGTCGGCGCGCTCTGGCCCATGTTTGACACGAACCGGTCGGGCTCCATCAGCTTCCGAGAGTTCAACAAGCGCGATGGCCTCCGCGAGACGCTCCTGGCCCAGATGGGCAGCAGCGGAGGCAGCCCCCCGGCGCACGTGGGGGCCGAGCTCGGCCGGCCGCAGCGCCCGCCCGCCTTTGGCGGCTACCCGCAGCCAGCCGCAGCGATGCCCGTGGCAACCCCGGTCGTCGTGGCCACGCCAGTGGCGCCGCACGGCGCCGGTGGCCACGCCGGTCACCACGCGGCGCACCGGCCGGCCCCGCCCAGCCAGGGTGTGCCGAAGCCCACGGGCAGGCGCAAGGCCGTGCTCATCGGCATCAACTATGTGGGCACCCGCGCGCAGCTCCGGGGCTGCGTGAACGACGTGAGCAACGTGAGGTCGCTGCTAACCAACAGCATGGGGTGGCACCCGGGCAGCATTCAAACACTCACGGACGATGGGAATTCCACGGTGCCCACCCGCCGAAACATCGAAGCAGCTCTCAAGTGGCTGGCGGACGGCGCGAGGCCGGGGGACGTGCTGTTCTTGCACTTCTCTGGGCACGGCGCGCAGCAGAATGACCCCAACGGCTTCGAGGAGGACGGGATGAACGAGACGATCCTGCCCGTCGACTTCAAGTCTGCTGGCATGATCTCGGACGACCAGCTGGGCGAGATTCTGGTCAAGCACCTGCCGGAGGGCGTGCGCCTCACAGCCGTCATGGACTGCTGCCACAGCGGCACGGGCCTGGACCTCCCGTACACGTGGACCTCTCGCGGCTGGAAGGAGGAGACCAACCCGTACCACTCCATGGGTGATGTCGTGATGTTCAGCGGGTGTGCTGACGACGACACGTCTGCGGACGCGACCACCGCATACGGAGCCTCTGGCGGCGCCATGACGACCGCGTTCTGCGACGTGCTGCGCTCTAATCCGAGGCTGAACTTCACCGAGCTCATGAGGCAGCTGAACCATACCATCGCCCGGCGAGGCTTCCGACAGCGCGCCCAGCTTACGTCCTCTCAGCAGTTCAGCTTCGACCGGCCGTTCTTGTTGGATGACATCGCTCCAAACTCCAACAGGACCCTCGGCCGCACCGTCAGGCGCAAGTTTCCGCCGCGGCCCCGCGCCATGAATGGACCCCTGAGCGACATGCTCGGAGTCGGTGGCGCGGTGGTCGGCGGAATGATGGCCGCGCAGGTTGCCGGCGGGCTGCTCGGGGCTTTGTTTGGGTGATTCGCGTACGGCTGGATCAGGGCAAGCATCATCATGCGCAGAGGGCAGACACACACACACACACACACACACACACACACACACACACACACACACACACACACACACACACACACACGCACACACACACACACACACCACCGCCAGGCCAGCTCTGGCCCATTCTGGGACAGATCTTGATGTGTGTCGGCCCCTTGCCAGGCTGGGGGGCCACAGACATTCAGGATCCGGCCCAGAGTGGGCCTGAGCTGTCCTGGTGGTGGTGGTGGTGGTGTATGCTTACCTGTCGCCCCTACGTTTGTCTGGATCAGGATCAGGATCCAGGAGCAAGGAGAAGCTGCACTGTGCGGAGGGCGCGCTGCAGATGATCGCCGCGGCCCCGCGGGAGACCCCAGCCAGGAGGCGCGGCGGCTAAGCCCGGCGCGCGCTTGGAGTACAGACGGACCCTCCCTCTTCCCCCGTGGCTCTTGTTGTACCGCGAGTGGCCCCGCCGCTTCCCCTGAGCTTGGCCAAGGCGCCGCGCACGGTGGAATGCTTCGCCACACGTTGGCGATCGACGTCCGATCTATACCACTGCTGCTGCTCCCCACTCTGGGCGTCAGGGACAGCAGGACATGGATCAAAAACGGGGCTCCCGAGGCCAGATTTTTATCCATGCCGCCTCTCTGGCTCCTCGTGGGGTCGGGGCGTGGCCAGGGGCATGGATCACATATGCGACGGAAGAAAACTGGGTCTTCTGCGCCGACATTCGCGCGTGAGCTCCCCGCGTAAGGTCGCGCATAAGCGCCCTCGTTCCCCACGCGATGTGCCTCGCTGGCGGCTATACCATCTTGCGTAAGACCCCTTTCGGATCGTCGCTCACATGTCGATCGCCTAGCACTGGCTCCACAGTGGGACATCGCAGCACGCATCCGAAAAGGCCCTGCCAAAGGCGCGTGCGCCGTCGCCTGTCCCTGCCAGCCCTCCGCCCACTGACTGCTGCTGCTCGCCCTCCTCCCATCGGCTGCTCGCTGCCCCCCCCCCTCGCTGCCCTCCTCTTCCTCCCCATGCTGTCCTCCTCCTCCTCCTCCTCCTCCTCCTCCTCCTCCTCCTCTGCCTCCTCACTTCCACTCCACCTCCTCACTCCTCCTCCTCCTCCTCCTTCTCCTCGTCGTCCTCCTCCTCCTCCTTCTCCTCCTCCTCCTCCTTCTCCTCCACCTCCCCCTCCGCCTTCTCCTTTCGAAGCTGCGGGCTCCTCCTCCTCCTCCTCTTCCTCCTCCTCCTCCCCTTCCTCTTCCTCCTCCTCCTCCTCCTCCTTCCTCCTCCTCCTCCTTCCTTTCCTCCTTCCTCCTCACTCCTCACTCAATCCTCACTCCTCCACCTCCTCTTCTACCTCCTCCTTCTCCCTCCTGCTCGTCCGCCTCCTCCTCCTCCTCCTCCTCCTCCTCCTCCTCCTCCTCCTCCTCCTCCTCTTCCTCGAAGATCGAATCTGCGAACTCGTCCTCCTCCCCTCCTCCTCCTCCTCCCCCCTCCTCCTCCTCCTCCCTTCTCCATCCTCCTCCTCCTCTTCTCTCTTTTCCTCCTCCTCCGCCTCCTCCTCCGCACTCCTCCTCCTCCTCGTCCCCGTCCTCCTCCTCCTCCACCTCCTCCTCCTGCTCCTCCTCCTCCTCCTCCTCCTTCTCCCCCTCCTCCTCGCCTCCCTGGCGCCAGGCCGCGCCGTCCTTGCGGCGCCCGCAGCGTCTGGACGGGGCCACCCAGAGGAGCGAAGCAGACCGTCACCGATGCCCTTCATTCGTTTGCACCACCTTGGACCTCCCAGGCCTATGATCTCTGCATTAGCTTGCCTATTGCAGGTCGGCCTGTGTGGCGTTCTGGGTTTGCCTGCGGGCTATGTAGCTCGCACTGTGGTTTCACATAGCCGAGGTGTCGAGCTCTGGTCGTTGAGCTCCCCCTCCTCATCAGCAGACAAAAACTGTTTGCACCTTCTTGCACCTCCTGGCCCCCCCCGTCGCTGCGGCGGGGTTTGCCCTGAGATATGGTCAGGATCCATTCGGGGAGTGGTCCGCTGAGTAGCTGTACCTGTGTCTTCTGCTTCGGCCCTGGCCTGGGAGCTTTCTCGAACCTCCGATTGCAGCAGCCGCAGCGGCCGATCGGCAGCTGGACAGGCATGATCACAGACAAGGAACTCCCTGCCAGTGCCACAAACAAGAGCTCCCTTTCCCGTGGTGGGCTCTTGGGTGCCCTCAGCAAGCCCTCTCAGAGCTCCTGGAGGGTCCTCCATGGAAGCCTTCCACGGGGGAGCTCTTTCCCTAAACAGTGCTTGCACTTAGGGGTTCGTATGTACTCCCAGGAGCTGGGGCGTGTGGCCCGTCGAGCGGCCAAAGAACATGTGCTGCACAGTGCAGTCGAACGGCATCAAAAGTGCACGCGCCTTCGGGGCCGGTCGGGAGACCACGGCGGCTTTCCCGCCCAGCCCAAATCCGCTTATAACAGGTTCCTGGACCCTTCTCCAGGTCCACGCTGGCCCGTCTTTCGAGGCGGATCCAGCCTAGGAGACGAGAAGCCTCCCAGAGATCCAATAATCGGTCGAGCCCGTAGCCCTACATATTTCTTTTTCGATCGTCTCTGCCCGCGCTGCTTGGCAACCTTTTGTGCGCGCGCAATTCCGTTTCGCGTGGGCCTTGCGGGGAAGTCGGAAAGGGGGGAGAGATGGATATTGGGTTGCCTCTGTTGCCATCTGTTGCGCCGTCCAGTGGTGGGGCTCGGGTTCGGGATTGGGCTCCTCTTGAACGCTTTTTCGTCCTTTGACGACCTTGTTGCAAGGACGAGCCTCGAAGCGCCCTCGAGGATCGAGCCTTGAGGATCGGGCCTCGAAGCGCCCCTTCGGGCCTTCGCGCTCGTCCCCCTCCTTCCGCGGCGGGGCGCGAGGCGGCACCTGTCGCGCGACGCATCCCGGCGCGGCATACGATTCGACCTCGGCTCCGTGCCGATGCGGCCCGACCCAGTGCACGTTCGGATCCGATCCGACCTCCCGATGCGATGCTGACTGGTCCTGCCCTACCTCCTGCTTGCGCGGGCGGGAGACGGCGGAGCGCCTGGAGGGGGAGGCGCGGGACAGGCAGGAGGAGGAGGAGGAGGAGGAGGAGGAGGAGGATTACAGGATTACAGTCATAGCGACGCCAGCTAGTTTCCCGCCAGCGCCCTGCACACCAGGGCCCACGGTCTGGCCACTGAGGCCAGCCTCCCACGACCCGAGACTAAAAGGGCACCTTCGAGACCGGATGTTTTCCCTCCAGGATGAGATCTATGGCAGCCCTGGCACCTCTGGCCATCTTCACAGGCTGCCTGCAGACTCCCTTCAACAGGGGACCAATCCGTTGGCTCGAGTAGGACCCACAATTCAAACAAAACAAAAATGGCCCATTCGTTTGCATCCGATGCCCCAGGGCCGTGAAACTGGCAAACGGATCGTCTACCCTGGCCCCTGAGGCGGCTCCTCCATCCGACGGCTCCCCAGGGCCCGCAGGCGGCCCCGAACCAGCACACACAGCATCAGCCGCCGCAAGCGCCACACGGACCGCCTCGGGGGGACCCATCGGGGACGCTTCAGCAAACCTACCCCCAGGGGGGAAGGCGAGGCGCGCCAAGGCCTTCTGCGCCTCGGATGGCTCGCACCTCCTTCCGCTGCCCTGGGTATACAACCTGACAGACGCCTGGGTCCTAGCTTGGATTCCACACTTCCTGCACACACGACTGCTAGGACCCAGGGACCAAAATTTATGCTCCAAAAAACTCAACAGCTTCGCATTGTTTGGGATAGCCCGCCTCATGCCTTGATGCGCGGGCGCCCCACTCAACTGACTGTTCACCATCTCGCGGGCGCTGGCGAGCTGGGCCGTCGCCCACGCGAAGAACTTACACTCCTTCTTCACTCGTCTCAGCTCCTGGGCGAAAGCTTCCACGTGCGTATCTGAAACGGCGTGAGACCGAGCCCCGACTTTAGCGAAGAAATCGGCCCACGAATTGCCAATCTGCCACTCTGGGGGCTTGCCGGGGTGCATCAAACAAAATTCTGCGAGATCGAGGTGAGCTGGGACCCATTTAAAACTGGGAGGAACTCGGAACCCAGAACTCGCGGAGATTTTCCTTCAGATCGACGCGTGGGTCCCTTGGGCCATGGACAAACTGGGTGACCAGCTCTGGCCCTCCCTCACGGCTCCCAGCAAATCAGAAACTAAAACTCGCAGAAACGGAAAACGTCTAACTCCCTGCAGCAAGGCCCAGCGCTCGGCAGCACCTACGGTCTGCCTTCTGCCATGCAGTGGGCCATACACGGCCCTGATCGGACGCCCATCAGCCCCCACCTGGATCACCGCCCATCCACACCTCCGAAATTCGGGCCACGCGCTATGCAGCCCTGACCCATCCGTGCAGGCCCAGCTGGGCCACGTCTGAGGGTCCGAGGCCCAATCGCCCCAGACAAAGACAGGCAGGCTTCCAGAAACAGGCGGCAGAGGCTTGGGCCTGCGGGGCAACCCAGTGGAGAACTCCAGGAGGTCCCAACACTCATGTCCAAAACTATTCACAGCGCGCTCAGACAGCTCGTTCCTGGTCTCCTCAAACTCCTCAAAGACCTGCTGCCGTCGGCTGCTCCAGCAGGTTCGGGCATGCGTAGAAGCCGTGTGCCACAGTTCCTGCCGGACCCAACTCCAAACATTGCGGGTGTGGGCACATCGGAGACGCTAAGAGGCGCCTCTCGAACCTCTTGGATACCGACATGAATCCACCAAACCAGAGCAGTCGTAATGCGCCAGCCATCTGTGGTCGTCGTACAGCACTCTTGGAACCACCAACGGTCAATGGTAGCGCGCGCATCCATACCACTTCGCCTCCCTCCAAGTGCTCAGGTAGGTGCGAGAGGATCTGCCTGGATTGCCAACGAGAAACACCCTCACGCAGTAGTTCGCGAAACTCGGCGGGACACGTGTGCATCAATGAAATCACATTGCCTTCATCACACA